GAAGCCTGGAGGCAAAAAACAAAATAGTTGGTCTAGAAAGTGCTCTGGTGCATCGGTGATGTGCAAACTAACATCCCATGATGAGAATCAAAATTATTAAATTGCAATGCATAATTGGAGTAATGAGGCGATTCGTAGCTGACCAGTCACAAATGCTGTTCCTACTTTTGCTCTATCTATTATGACCCAAATATAAAGACACTGTACTTAAAACGAACAAAATAATAATAGAAAAGTCGCCTACGTGAGGTCTTGACATTAGAAGCTCCCTAAGACAGCAGTGCATGCTATTATAATTGACACACAGAGTTTAGGGCAAAAGCAAAAATACTTTTCGTATTTAATTATGACTCCCTAGGTTACCATAATGGAGAAATTGATAACTAACTCAACTAAAGTATTTAAGTTACTAAACCACTAATGCATGAAACTTTGTAATGCGCATTTAATTTTATGAGAGATATTTTAAGATGACTCTTCTATATTGTGCTCAGCTTATTCTTTGCTATTTCGCTCTATAGAAAAACAAGTATGTGCAATATTTTTCTAAGCAAATTAAGATTAAATAAGACGGGAATACATTTCTTATGCTATACAGCACATTAATCACACGTCATTGTGATCAACTTTACAGTTTAGTAAGGAATTAAGCTACACTGCTAACAAATTCTTACTAGGGCGGAAGCTCTCCAGGGGCTAGAGAACGCGGTCGATTTCCCGCCTCAGAGCGTATCTGAGGCGTTTGCTTGCTATCAATGGAAAAGCCATCCCATTGCTCAGAATCCGGTAAAACACGGCAACCAGAGAGGCGAGTTCGGGCTGAATGATTACTGCCAAAATGGGTGTTGTCACGACTTAAAGAGCGAAGCCTTGGGTACAGGGATATCGAGTGAGCATTGGCACGAATGTAGTTGATATCCCGACGCTTGAGTTGAACCTAAAATGAGGAATACCGAGAAAGCAAGTAAAAAAGAGAAGTCATTAGTAGCTTCCGGAAATTTATATGAATTTTTGGTTTAACATATGCCATTAAAATTCATAGAGGCAATGACTAAGAGCCATAATTTTCTTTTTAATTGCCTTTACAGTGGTACAATTTAGCAATAAATTAACTAATTTTTATCAGCCGATTACCAAAATAACCAGCCGGCTGTCGAGTTCGACGGAGTAAACACATGAATAAAAGTGCCTTCAGAGCTTGAGGAGAATGTATGCTGCGAGTATAAATTGGTCGTTTATACTTTAAGAGTATGATAAACTGCTCAAGATCCAGTTTTACCCTACATGCCAAGGTACGTTTGGGATAAAAGTAAAGTTAAATTTATCAGATAAATTAGGCCGTCTTCAGATCCTATCCTAACAAATTCAGAAAAAAACAACCTGCTCCAAATCGCTGTTGTTGGAAGATACATATACTAACCTATATAGGCTATAAAAAAATTTCCGCCTGTTACCCTCTGTCTATAGAGATTATAAGAAAATAAAAGACCCAAACAGGCAGACACATTTTGACTTAAAATATTATGCCCACAAACTATTTCTCATTCCTGATTCCTCAATATAAAAATAGCATGAGTAGTGATAGCTATGCAAACAAAAAGCACAAGCATCAGTATTGAATCAGAATTAATGCAGGTAAAGAAAAATATTTTTGCCAGGATCATGTATGCCTTTGAATCAACAGAATTTAGAAGTGGATAAGTTGTGGCAACTAAAGCAATCTATTAGTCAAATTATTTCAAGCAGGGATACTAAAAGAAGCCAAAATTGGTTGTCTAATTTGCAATTATATATGCTACCAAGGCAATAAAACACAACGAAATATAAAAAATGTAAATAAAATTCTTTAACTTTTAATGAGAAGAATTTCTAAATTATGAAAAAAATTACAAATAATAAGACGGCTCATAAAGCATTGTAGACCCAGAGAAATTATTAGCTATAAGTGAAATAAAAATGCAGATTTATGAAAATTTTGAAGGTACACAGATGTTAATCAAAAAGGCAAAAAAAAATATTCTCCATGAGCCCATGATGCTCAGAATTATCCTCTAATCTAATGTTGATTTAGACATTTCCCTTACCATTACGCAAAATGTAGCATAACAGCTAGTAAAAATAACTCCTTCCTTCAAAATCCGCAGTCATTTCGCCGAAATTAGATCTCCTAAGTAGGTAATTGATAAATAATTAGCCCAAGACATTAAAGAATACGGTAAAGCCTACAAGGTGTT